CTTCTTGTATCTGAAGAAGTGAGGTTCTTACCCACGAAAGCTTATGCTCCCAATACTTCTGTTAGTCTTAAAGGTGCCACAGGACCCTCTGTTGCTTTTTACAGTAAATTATGAGTGAGGAAGTACTACACATTCCCAGGAATATTAAACATGCACAAATAAGAGGGGGGTTATGTAAATTATGCAGACGAAGTTAATAAGATACTTTTAAAGGAAAAATAATTACCTTGTTGAATCTGCAACTAAGTGAAGACATCAGAATTTGGACTGATATAAGGGAATTAAGTACATGCCTAATTTTAAGCACCATTGGCTTCAAAGACTCTCCTCATGGACTTGTGTCTTGATGAATTAGGGTGTTAGTGTTTATTCAGTTAATGGGAATTTGTCTCAGTAAATGTTGAGTGAGAAGCTCAGGATCTGGCACATTGTTATTGTCTCCTTTCATTTTAAAAATCAAACTGTTGGGAGGAGGGTGAACTCCTTTGCCCTCAGGGGAAGAAAGTGGGTGTGAAACTGTTAAAGGGCAGAAAAATGTCAAGAAAAACAGATGATTTTGAATTGCTGTTAGTAATAGGTGGCAGGAAGAATCTGTCAGATTTTTTTTATGGCTGAAAGACAGGGAGAAGAGCAATGTATGATTCCAAGGTGCAAATGGAAACATTGACAAGTGTGAACAGAGCCAGTGCCAAGCTTGAGTGTATTTCCACTAAGCGATAACTCAGGGGTTCCCAAACTTTTTGCTGGCATGACCCCATTTTAATGAATTATTTCCTCCTGAGACCCCAGACAGCATGGAGGACTCCATTTTGGAGAGCAAAATGGTATTCTCCACACAGCGTGAACTTGCATACCCCATACACGTGAGGTTACACCGCATGGAGGACGCCATTTTGCTCTACAAAATGGTGTCCTCTGCACAGTGTGACTTCATACTTATGGCACATGCAAGGTCACACTGTGCAGAGGTAGGGTGACCCACCTGTCCCTAATTGGGCAGGACAGTCCCAAAATGTACATTTCAAGTCCAGGTCAGCATTTGTCCCAAATTTCCTGTGGCGCCACTCCGTGCCTGCCCGAGGCTTAGGGGTGATGCCAACCTTTTCTTGGTGGGATGGATGAGGTGGGCCTTAGCACCCCCCCCCCCCAGGCCATGAGGCTCTGTCACCTGCTCCTCCTCTCAGGACCGGCTTTAGGCTGATTCCCCCCGATTCCCCGGAATCGGGCTCCGCGCCTAAGAGGGCCCCGCGCCTTAGGCGTCTTTTTAATTTAAAAATTTTTTTTACTCACCTGGCGGCGGTCCACTCCAGGTCTTCGGCGGTGCTTTGGTGGCAGGGGGGTCCGCTCCGGGTCTTTGGCGGCATTTCGGCGGCATGGGGGGTCCTTCAGTGCTGTGGAAGACCCAGAGCCAAGTGAAGGACCACCCACCGCTGAAGACCTGGACCGCCGCCGGGTATTTGAATTGGGCCCCGCAGGTCCTAAAGCTGGCCCTGCCTCCTCTTCCCCCCCAAGCCCTGCCCCAGGCCAGAAGCTGGAGCCGGGCAGTAATGAGAGCCACCCAGGGAGCCCGAAATGCTGTGTGGAGCCCTGGATGATTCACCTGCCCTGGGTGGCATGCCTCTTGGGCACCCCGGCCTCCCACTCAGGGCAGGTGGAGGGTCCAGTGCTCCCCACAGCAGCCCAGGCTCCCTAGGCGGCTCTTACCACTGCCCAGCTTTGACTTCTGGCCTGGCCAGAGTCTCAGGGGGACATAGAGGAGCTGGGGGGCAGGGCTCCTGCATGTGTCCCATTTTTGCAGGTTGAAAGGGTGGTCAAACATAGTACCTATCTATAAAAATGGGAATAAGGACAGCCCAGGGAATTATAGACCTATCAGCTTAACTTCAGTACCTGAATTCAAACAATCAATTTGAATAAGGTAAGAGTCAACATGGATTTGTCAAGAACAAATAATGTCAAACCAACCTAATATCCTTCTTTGATAGGATAACAAGCCTGGTGGATAGGGGGAAAGCAGTAGATGGTGATATATGTCAACTTTAGTAAGCCTTTTGATATTGGTTTACATGATCTCAGAAACATACTAGAGAAATATAGCCTAGATTAGCCTATTACAAGGTGGGTGCACAACTGGCTGGAAAACTATACTCAGAGAGTAGTTATTAGTGATTCACAATCAAGCTGGAAGAGCGTATCAATTGGAGTCCCACAGGGATCAGTTCTGGGTCCACTTCTGTTCAAATGATTTGGATAATGGTATAGAGAGTATACTTATACATTTTATGGATGATACCAAACTGAGAGGGATTACAAGCACTTTGGAGGACAGAAGTAGATTTCAAAACTGGAACAATGGTCTGAAGTAAATAGGATGGAATTCAATAAGGACAAATGCAGTTAGGAAGTAATCAATTGTACAAATACAAAATGGGAAATGACTGCCTAGGAAGGAGTACTGCCGAAAAAGATCTGGGGGTTACAGTGAATCATAAACTAAATATGAGTCAACAATGTAATAGGGTTGCAGAAAAAGCAAACATCATTCTGGCATGTATTACCAGGAGTGTTGTATTACCAAGACACAAGAAGTAATTCTTCCACTCTACTCAGCACTGATAAGACCTCTACTGGAGTATTGGGTCAAGTTCTGGGCACCACAGTTTGGGAAAGATGTGGACAAATTGGAGAAAATCCAGAGAAAAGCAACAAAAATAATTAAAGGTGTAGAAAATATGACGTATGAGGAAAAATTGAAAAAAAATTGGGTTTGTTTATCTGGAGAAGAGACGACTGAGGAGGGACATGGTAACAGTCTTCAAGTATGTAAAAGGTTGTTAGAGGAGGTGATAAATTGTTCTCCTTACCCACTGAGGACAGGACAAGAAGTAATAGGCTTAAATTGTAGCAAGGGAGATTTAGATTAGACATCAGGAAAATCTTTCTAACTGTAAAGGTAGTTAAGCACTAGAATAAATTGCCTAGGGGGGGTTGTGGAGTCTGTCATTGAAAGTTTTTAAGAACAGGTTATACAGACACCTGTTGGGGTGATCTAGTTAATACTTAGTCCTGCTTCAGTGCAGGGGACTGGACTAGATGACCTATTGAGGTCCCTTCCAGTCCCCCTACATTTCTATGGTTTTCTGATTCTAGTTGCCATTCTTAAGTAGTAATGTGGCACTTTATTGTCAGATCAACCTCCTTCCCCATGTTCTGGTGTCCCTAAACCTCTGACTGCTAGAACCTGGGACTGGAACTCAGTAAATTGCCCTGTTCTGTTCACTCCCTCTGAAGCATCTGACACCAGCCACTGTCAGAAGACAGGACACTGGGCTAGTTGGACCATTGGTCTGACCCAGTATGGCTGTCCTTATGTAGTAAAACCAATGGTAGGAGTATAGGAGGAGGAACACTCCACATGGATTTCTTCAGAGTTCTCTGTTAATTGTTGGAAGAGGGAGGGTTGCCTTGTCTTTGGAATGACTGGCTGCTCCACCTCCATATCCCTGCACAGAAGCCCTGCACCTCCCCCTCGCTTCAGTGGAGATGCACAAACAAGACTTTTCCTGGCCAAGGCTGCCCCCAACAACCCCCATTGGCTGGGAACAGCGAACTGTGGCCACTGGGAGCTGTGGGGGGCCGTGCCTGCGGACGATCAACGTCAGCAAAATGTCTCACGATCCGCAATCAAATTACCCAGGTGGGCCGCAGGTTGCCCACCCAGGGGCGGCTCTAGCTTTTTTGCCACCCCAAATACGGCAGGCCGGCTGCCTGTGGGAGGTCCCCAGTCCCGCGGATTCAGCGGCATGCCTGCAGGAGGTCCACCGGCCCCGCGGCTTCGGCGTACCTGCCACTGGAATTGCCGCCGAATCCGCGGGACTGGCAGACCTCCCGCAGGCAAGCCGCCGAAGGCTGCCTGACTGCCACCCTCACCTTGGAGCGCTGGTGCCTGGAGCCGCCGCTGTGCTCGCCACTGCTGTAAAGCCATCCTTGCTGCAGCTGCTGTCCCTAGCACCACGCTGCACCCCTGCCTTCCAGACCGGCCTGCCCAGGTGCTATGTAGGTCCCCAACTCTGAGATGGGACACAGGGTGCTGAAGCGGGGCAGGGCCAGGCAGATCCCCTGAGGAACTCTTGTGCAGGAGCCAGTCCCACAGCAGCAGTAAAGAGGAGCAGAACTGGCCACCTCATTGCCCACTCAGGTTTGGCCCTACCACCAGCCCTCTGTCAGGACAGGGAGGGGATAAATGGTATTGTAATCTGGTGCAGGGGAGTCGCAGTGCCACTCAGGTTTGGCACTGTGTCCCTTCTGTCATGACATGAGGCTAAACTTCAATAGTGCTGCAATGCCCATGCACCTGGTCACAACACCACTCACTCAGTTTAATCCCTGTAGCACTCCCCCCTCTGCTGTTATGACCAAATCTGAATGGGCAGTGATATGGCCAATGCTGTTCCCCCTCACTGCTGCCCAGCAGTATGCACTGTGCGTAACATGCATATAGCTGTAGGTGCCACAGATCCCTGCTCTAGCAGGGGAGATAGATGCATGAATCTGAAGGCCATGATCAGGGCCACAGACCGACACATTCTATTACCAAAACAGTAGTGTATGTGTTGTGTAAATGAATCTGCTGATTCAAACTTTGGGCTTATGCTCTATCAAAACTGTTTGCTTCTTTTTAGGCAATAATATTAAACAATCCTTGAGGATTACAGAATAAAATATATTAATACAAAGTAATGTGGTAATATGATAAAAATGCTTTAAAATATACTTTGTGAATGCGTTTTTTGGGGTTATCAAAATAATACTAGATGGACGGACACTGTAGATAAAAGATGTGTAAAAATGGTTTTAATTTATCACTGGATAAAATCTATGATATTTCTTCTTCACTGTTATTTCCCATACATTTAACTGATTTTCTAAATTTCCTGTGAGCAATTGTGTGTCTAATTTGTGCACACTACTACAGCAGTTCCAGTGTGCACTCATATCAGGTTGCTGCTCATGGCCTGTTTGTATCTAACCATATAATATTCACATTCAATTACTTTCAATCATGGTATTGTACACACAAATTAGACAATTGTGCATAGTCAGACTGATAATCAGGCCATTAGTGAGAAGAATTGTATATTATGAACTTGATCTTGCTTTCTTGGGAAAAATACCCAGTCAAGTCAATGGAAGTTTTGCCTGTGCAAAAGGTGCAGTTTTGCCTGTGCAAAAGGTGCAAGATATACCATATATACTCGTTCATAAGCCGAATTTTTTTAGTAAAAAAGGGAAGCACCAGACAAGGGGGTTGACTTATGAACGGGTAAGGAGAGGGAGAGGTGGGACACAGTCCCTCCGCCCAACAGAGGGAGCAAGGAGGGGCAGCACAGCCAGCAGAGACAGAAGGGAAGAGGCAGGGCCAGAGTCTCTCCACTTCTGTCCACACTGCTCTCTCCCCAGCCTCCGAAGCAGCTGCAGCTCTGAGGCTGGCAGGCTGCAACCATGCCGCTCGGCCCCACCCCCCAGTGCAGGCTGGGGCTGCGCCGCCCAGCACAGCCTGCTGGAACATGCTGCGGCCGCGCTGCCCAGCCTGCCAGAGCAGTTCCAACCAGGTCAGAGACATTCTCCCCTGGCCCTCCCCAGATAAGGTGGAAAGGGATGGGATGGGGAGAGTGTGGGGGTCCCGGGCCAGGGGTGGGGTCATGTGGGGGGTGGTCACAGGGGTTACTCCTCTGACTCCCAGCTTCTCCCCCACAAAAAAAATTTCCTCACCAGCTGCTGTCCCAGCCCGTCAGGGTAAGCAGCTGGTGCGCTGGGACACTTCGTTTACTTAGGTTTACCTCCGTGCCTCTGGACGCTCGAGGTAAACAAACCATCTCGACCCCCCCCAACGGCTTATCCTGATGGCCAGGGAGCCAGAGTTTGCTGACCCCTGAATTATAGGGTCGGCTTATGAACGGGTTATAAAAAATTTCCATTTTTACTTATCCATCTTGGGGGGGGGGGTCGGCTTATAAACGAATCGGCTTATGATTGAGTATATACGATATAAGCCGATATATGTATATGGAAACAGTTAATTTGTCCTGTCACTTGTCTTGCAGTGCATTTAAAGAGAAACCATGGCTTCAACAACTGGGAATTGCAAGAACCCTAGCTAAGAAGAGTGTCTGCAAACCTGTATACTGATAAAGGCCTGATTTCATATTAAATGTTTCCAGGAACCTGTAGTTTGGGAAGAAAGCCTATGTTTGAATGCTCTAATATTATCATCAATGTCCTATTTGACAAGCATCCTAAATTCAATTTTTTCCACTGACATAGTACACAGATATGGTCAATGAAGGTATATTAACAATTAATACATTACATGAAGATAATGTATAAATCATTAGTGGATGCTCTGGGCTTCATCTGTTTCAGATGTTTGATCTCTTTAGCTCTAAAGAGAAAAAAGATTAAATCATGTGACAAAAATAATTCTGAAAAACTGAATACAACGTGTAAGGGAAAAAGAATGACTCATTAGATTAGTATGAACCAAAGGTTTTCAGCATTGTATAGCACTACCGTGAGAGGAAAAATTAGATCACCTAGGACTAAGCTTTAATGTGCTAAGCAAAGCCTGTGAGAATCTCCCATTGAACCTCTAGTCATGCTAGCAGACTTCATCCTCTGGCACTCCCTAGGAGTTTAAAGACCTTCCACTCCTATATCTAAAACAGTTTCAAAATGACTTTGATTAAAATCTTTTCTGCAGCTCCTGCGATCCGGAACAGCCTGCCCTGTGTCTCTCTACCTTATTGAATCTCTGTCCCTTTTTAAGTCTCATCTGCAAATCTATCTTTTCTCTCTTGCATACTTTCTTTCTCTCTTCTATTGAGATATTTATTTAGGGTTCTCGTTCTGTCACACCTTACTTATATGAGTAATCCTTACTTGTGCAGTCCCATTGAACTCAAGGGACTAGTCCTGTGTGCAGTAAATGTGTGATGAACAGGAGTGTTTGCAAGGCCTTGTCTACACTTGAAATACTAAGCAGCACAGCAGCAGAGCTTTAGTGTTGAAATTAATTACAATGATGGGAAGGATTCTCTCGTTGGCTTAGTTAATCCACCTCCCAAGAGCTGATAGCTAGGGCTACATCGACACTACAGCCAGGATCCACGCTCTGAGATCGATCCACCGGCGGTCAATTTAGCGGGTCTAGTGAAGACCCACCAAATCGACAGCAGATCGCTCTCCAGTTGACCCCTGTACTCTACCCGAGGAGAAGAGTAAGGTGGGCAGACAGGAAAGTTTCTCCCGTCGACCCCACCCCTCCCGTGGTGTAGACCCTGCGGTAATTCGTCCTAAGGTGTGTCGACTCCAGCTACGTTATTCACGTAGCTGGAGTTGCGTAGTGTAGGTTGATTTACCATGGTAGTGTAGACATAGCCTAGGTCAACAGAAGAATTCTTCTGTCACCCTAGTGCTATCTACAGTGGGGGTTCGGTTGCCTTAACTACATCACTCAGGAGTATGGATTTTTCATTCCTCTGAGTGATTTAGGTGGATTGACTTAATGTTTGAGTGTAGACCTGGCTTAAGAGACTGGTCTTTATTGTCTGACCCCAGTCATTTGATATGGGAAAGGGTTAAAAAAAGTTAACACCCTTGTCACATGACAGGGGTGATTATCCACTGACTTGATCAGCTAATGTTAGAATGAGTAAGACTTATTTGCATGAGTAAGAGTTAACATGATCAGGCTCTAACTGAGACTGTATTACTTATCTCTGCAAAGCATTTTGGTGTACAGAGCCTGACTTGTCTCCCACAGAAATCATAGTTTTACCATTGACTTAAATGGGAGAAGAACAGGGACCCCAGTTAGTGTGAAATATTCTATTACATACCCTGTCAGATGAACTGAATTAGAAGTACTGTAAAATACACAAAGAAAAAGGGGTCACACATTTAAAATCCTGCCATTTCATAAAATGAAATCTCCTGCATTGGCAGGCATATGGACTAGAGTGCTTAATAAATCATTTCCATCTCTCAAAATGTCCCTGATATACAGGTAGCACTTTCAGATTGAAATTCTTTCCTGAAATATAAAATGATAAAATTGTCTCTGAGGGCATGCCTACACTGCCTGGCCTGCCTCAGACTATGGGGCTGTAAAGAATAGTGCACACCAAAGTGCTGTGCTATAACTCCCCCATGTGGATGCTGCAGGCACAAGCAAAAAGGTTTCTCATTTACATTAATATAGTCCTCTTCAAACAGGACTGTGGTAATAAGTACTGGGAACCTTGTTCCCACACTGTCTGCACAGGAGAGTTACAGCACAGGACTTAGGTGCGCACTGCTGTTCACAGTCTCGTAGTCCGTACTGCAGGGCAGTGTAGACATGCCCTGAGATAGTATCGTCAGTGGTTCTGTGGGAAGCAAGAGTAACAATGCGTATGTGTGTCTTCCTGTGTATTTCTTCTCTGCCCCCTCACTCTTATGAGAGAAAAGATGGACAGGTGAGCTATTAAATTAACAACTGGAATAGATTTGTTGGTCTAGCAACTGATTGCACTGTATGTTGCCTGTGATTTTTGACATCTCAGTATTCTTCTCAACCAATGTCAACATGAATCTCACACACAAAATATAAGATTGTTTTTCTACAGAATTGTAAAAATAAAAATGATTACAATGTATTTCCATTTTTCTTATATATCTTCTTTTGACAGGTATTAGCATATAATATCTTTATTTTCAATGCTGCACATTTATATACCATACTTGTACTTAAAACCAATTGGTTACTACCTTTTAACTACAAATCTAGGATCTGCTCCTCCTCCCATTTAAATCTGTGGCAGTTTGTCCACTGTGACATGAAACCAAGTATCAGAGGGGTAGCCGTGTTAGTCTGTATCCACAAAAACAACGAGGAGTCCGGTGGCACCTTAAAGACTAACGGATTTATTTGGGCATAAGCTTTCGCGGGTAAAAAAACCCACCTCTTCCATGCATCTGAAGAAGTGGGTTTTTTACCCATGAAAACTTATGCCCAAATAAATCTGTTAGTCTTTAAGATGTCACCAGACTCCTCATTGTTTTTGTGGCATGAAAGAATTGGTCCCAATGTGGTCATATTACACTAGACTGCACTTTATAGGAATTACAATGTCATCAATAAACAAAAAGCCACAAAGATGCCACAGATCCAGACTAACAGAGCTACCTCTCTGATACTTGAGTATCATTGTAGAGCATTGGTAAAATCAAAATCTGATCCATTTTGCTTATATAATTCTTTTCAGATATCCACAATGAAACTATTATAAGATTTTTTACATTTCCTAGCCCTGTAGTAGATGAGTGATATGTTTAAACAAAAACCTCTCCTACTCATCCCAGGCAGTCTCTCAGACCAGTTGGAAACATTTTCATTTAGAATATTATTTTCTGTTTATTAATATTTCCAATAGTTTAAAATTAGACAAAAGGAACAGGCAGAAAAACGATAAAGAACATTAGGCTGATTGTTTTCCTCCTGCCCTTTTTGGAGGGGACAGTGGATTTAGGGATAAGCAAACATAGGCATGTGCACGGGGTGTGCCGGGTGTGCCCAGGCACACCCTAATGCAGGGGTGGGCAAATGGCCCCCTCTCCCGGCGCGGCAAGTCGCGGGGTCTGCGCTCCTGGACTGGAGCGCCCAGCCGAGCGCTGCAAGCTGCCGACCCCTCTCCCCCCTTCCCCCCTTCCCTGGAGCCATACCGTTGCGTGCGCAGCGCTCCGGGGGCGGGGCTGTGCACTCCCGCAGGGCAGTGTTTAGCTCCACGAGGAGGCTAGGAGCCTCATCTCATGGTAAGGGGTCCAGGGCCAGGGGAGTTGGATAAGGGGTGGGGGCAGTCAGGGGACAGGGAGCAGGGTGGGGGGGTTAGGG